AAGTTCCTTGTAAATGATCGTACAACAAATGTCTCAATCAAATCCAGATAAACACCAGTCTTTAACAATAATATAATATTCCCTATAGCTTGAACTGCAACCTTCTGCCATCGTCCACAAAGATGTTTCTCTCAACATCACTTGACGGTCAGCTCCACAGGAAACTCTGCGTAGTCATACTTATGTGAGTAGTATCACCAGAATCTACGCACCAAGTATCAACAGGCACAAAAGCTAAATTAATTTCAGAATAAACAAAAGAGAGAGAGTCATACCCTTCTTTACGCGCCATGCCAGATATTTGAAGCACTCTTTCTTCATGTGTCCAGATTTCCTACCAAAGAAGCAAGTGAATTCCTAATCCTGCTTCTTTTATTTCTTTTGCATGGGAAAAGCTTCTGCATTATTCTTAACTCTCTTATTTTTCTTGCCTTGAGAAGATGATGCCAAGTGAGCACTATCAGTCTTTTCTCGTTGTAACCTATCTTCCTCTTGGACACAGTGAGCAATGAGCTCATTAAGAGTTCATTTTCCCTTTGGCTCACTATAAATTGACCGTATTGTGCAGGAAGAGAGATTATAACTAATTACATGAGCAACTCAGATGGCAGCTCTAACTTTAATGCCTTTAGTTTTCTAGCAAGGTTATACATTTCCATAATGTACTCCCTTATGCTTCCCTTTCCATTATACCTCATAGTAATGAGTTTGGACAAGGTTTGACCAATTTCAACCTTTTCATTTAGAGCAAAGTATTGCTCGAGTTCCTTCAGAAACATCTTGGCATCAATAGTCTCAACTATCGAGCCCTTAAACGCCTCTGGAACAGAGCGTTTCATGATCATCAGACACATGCAATTTGAGCGTCCCAGTTCTCAACCTTATCTGTATTCGGTTTTCTGGAGTAGAAGTGGATTTCTCAGTCCTTAGCGCATTGTCTAAATTCATGCAGTTGAGAACAATTTCCACATTCTCTTTCCACATCTTGAAATTTTCCCATTTAGCAAGGGCATCATATTCACTTGAGCAACAAAGTTAGCAGAAGTAGCATAAACTGTATAAAGAACAAAACAAGATAACATACTTATAACAGTCATATCATGTATATATTTAAACACCATCATAATCATATTACATACATAATATTGACAAATAATTTGAAGTCAAATGAGTTTATTTACAAGATACCTAGCACAACATTGACATTCAGTCTTTGGACAAAAATATCAACTTGTAAGAGGAACTCTCAAAGCAATAATCAAACATTGACAATAAGTCCTGTCAAACCATAGCCTTCCTTTGGGCTGACTATGACTCACATGATGAAGTCTTAATAATTGTCACATATTTATTACCACATATATGTCCATTATTTGGTCAAATAATAACCTTTCTTTGGGCCGATTATTATTTGCATAAGCAACAAACACACACATGATCACACAACATATATTATTTGGCCAAACAACTACCTTCCTTTGGGCCAATAATTATTCGCATAAATAATATACATATATATGATCAACATATTTGAAATCAAGTTAACCTTTATAAATTTGGCCACTTTGGCAGTTATCAAATCTATCATATTCAATTTCAAATAGAAACCTTTAGGGATAATAAACCCATTTAAAAATAAAATACAAAAATAAAGAAAATTATTCTTTATCAATCCTCAATGTACATATATACATATTATACCATTATACCAATAACAATAAATACCTTTTCATTATACGGCTTAAAAATGATGCACAATCGACACACAGGTATGCTTTTTCAAATGAAAGCTTCAAAATGATGCACAATACCAAAAAAAAATTATATTTAGCTTTTAACAAAGAATATCAAATATAAGGAAAACCCCAAAGTCCAAAATTTTCTACGAGAATTCATTGTTCATTCAAATTCTCAATTCAAACAACAAATGCTTATAAATTATAAAGCCAAAAAATTTCAAATATTACATTTTTATGCAGATTCAAAAGTTTAAATAATAAACCCTTATTAAATTGTGAATCCTAGATTTTCAAAAGATTGTAACTTTTGTTCCAAAACCAAAAATTACCGTCAGGGAACAAAAATAACACTACATAGCTAATACAAAATACATGAGATGAAACCCAGTTTCAAAAACTTTATTGCCAAAAGACAATAAAGCAAAATTTTTCATGATTCAACATATATAAAAATCACAAACTTAGTGTGTTGTCTCTCTCTTGATGGGGAAGAGAAACTAGGATTGTTATTATTTGACATATTAGGGACCATAACCCTTTATAGTATTTTCTTTACTGTTGGGCCAGTAAGCTCTCATTATACCTAGTTGGTCCAACACTGGTATCCACTCATTTGTCCCACACTTACTTAGGAATCTATTTGTGCATCTTTATTTGATCGCTTTAATTTACCCAATATATATTAAATAGCATAATATAATTATTTATACAATATGTAGCTCACAAACACATTAGGAAATATAATTTCCTAACAATATCAAATTCCATGACGCGAATAACCTGAAAGAATCCACAAATATGACATGAATTTTTTCGTGTTATTTTTTTTCAAATACAAACACGAAACAAATTGAAAAATTGGTCAACCCAAACACGAATTTCCTGTATGTTTGTTGATGAATGCAAGCACAAACATATTTTAAAAGTCACACGTGCTCTATGCTTTCAATCCCAAATTCCCTTATCATATTGGAAATGTGTTCTTACAATTGTCTATCTCATTAACCACATTTTTCCATCTCTCAGACTATGTTTGTTCCACTTCTAACAGCCATCCAATTTCGGCTCACCTCTCTTATTCTAAACTCTCCTCCTCACATCATGCCTTTATTAATGCCATCTCTTCTCATTATGTTCCTCCAACCTATGCTAAATGTAATATCCCAAAGGACAGGCAAGGGCAAGGAGTGATCGCCAGTGCAAAAAAGGTACGGACAATGAGCAACTCATGCTAAATTTTGTAGCTGGAGAGTACATGAATGAATCAAATCAACACTCGAAAGAGAGGGATTTTAGAGACTATGTTGGTATGAGACGGTACAGTTGGGGATAACTTATAAGAATTAATTTGACAGCCCAAAACAGAAGAACTCCATAGTTAAGCGTGCTTGACTTGGAGTAATTCTGTGATGGGTGATCTCCTGGAAAATTTTCACAGGAAGTGTGTGAGTGAGAACAAAATACGCTGAAAAGCCACGTGTTAGTTTGTTGGGATAATCATTATTCCTTGCAAGTTGTCGGGCGTTACACTGAGGCCTCTCAACTTCTGGAAAAGTGTATTGCCATGTGTACTAAACTCTCTACTCTCAAACAAAATAATACTTGGAATATTGTTTTTCTCCCACCTAGCAAAAATCCTTTTGGTTGTAAGTGGGCATATCATGTCAAATACAACTCAGATGGACATCTTGAAAAGTACAAAGCCCAACTAGTTGCTAAAGGCTTCACTCAACAAGAAGGCCTTGATTTCATGGGAAGAACTTTTCTAGTGGCTAAAATTACTATTATTCATATGATACCTCCTCTTTTCGCCATCAATCATTAGCATCTCATTCATTTGGATGTCAATAATGTGTTTTTGCATGGTGAACTATCTAAAAAAGTCTACATGGTTTTGCCTTCTGATTATCTTAAACAGGGGGAGTTATTGCCACGAAATGTTTTTTGCAAGCTCCACTAACCTCTTTATGGTCTGAAATATGCCTTTTAAACAGTGGTTTGCCACGTTTTCTTCGACCTTTGTTTATGAATTGCTCTAATGACTATTTTATGGTTATAATGGTGTATGTTGATGATATTATTATATTCTATAATGATATTACTCGGATAGAGCATCTCACTACCTTTTCGGACAAAAAATTCAGGTTGAAGAACCTTGGTTCATTGAATTACTTCTTAGGCCTTGAAGTTGCTCATTCATCTGAAGGTATTTCTATCTGCCAAAGGCAATACACCCTGTAAATTCTATATGATGTTGGTTATCTTGGTTGCAAACCCAAGACTACATCAATGGAGTCGAATCCCAAACTCTCTATGAATGAAGGTGAACTTATTCAAGATCCCAGCTAATATAGAAGACTAGTTTATTGGTTGCTTTATTTAACTATCATAAGGCATGGAATTTGTTATAATGTTAATCACCTTAGTCAATTCTTGTCTGCTCCTAGAGTTCCCCATTTGCAGGTTGCTTTATAGAATTCTTTGATACTTAAAGTATAATGCTGGTCCAGGTTTACTTTTCTTGTTGAGTTCTTCCTCTCAACTCAATGTTTTTTTTTTTTTAGATTAGGCCTCATGTCTTGATAGTCGTAGATCTACTTTTGGTTTTTGTGTTTTCTTGGCCAATTATTTGATTAGCTAGAAATCCAAAAAGCAATCCACACTACAAAAAAATGCTATTTAGCCACATTTAAAAATGTGGCAAACAATAATAAAAAATTTGGCTAACAAATTTTACCACACTTTTATTGAATGTGTCTAAAAGTGGTGTTGCAATAATTTAACCACATTATTTTATTCATTTAGCCACATTTTGACCGAGTGTGGTAGCCTTTTTTTAGCCACAATTATTGTTCATTTAGCCACTTTACAAATATGGTTAAATTATATAATTTGCCACAATAAAAGCATGTGGCTAATTATGTCTGAAATTTTTTATTAGCCACATTATAAATGTGGCTAAATATATAAAAAAAATTCATTAAAATTATTTCAAATTTAATAAATCTTACAATAATAAAAAAAAATATTGAAAGTAGCTCAAGGCAAAGTAGTGAACACGGTAAAATATAAACCAAACTCCAAACCTTATGTCATTGAAGAATTTATAGACATCAAGTTTTCAATTCATATAAACTAATCAATTTTTCTACGAATATTGCACAAGGAAAATAATTGCCAAATAAAACTATTCAGAAATTTGGCATGGAATGTCTGTATAAAAAATCATCTTCTTTTATGTAACCAATTTTTTTTCGTAGTTCCATTAAAAAAATATGACAATACAATTTTTTTCATATTATCCTTCCTAAACTTGTTCTTGTATGCGTTGTAATCCTTTGAAGCATTATCTATCTCATCAAACCTGCACAGAAAATACTAAACTTTAGCTTGATGATAAGACAAAAATCAAACATTGAGCTAGTTCACACCTGCAAACCCAATTTTATGCAGTACAATACAATCATTTAAAACTTAGAAATATTCCACTAGCGATTAAAACTCCAGCTTTCTTATTGCAATTATTAACAACTAAACCAAGCTTTCAATTCCTTAAAGCAACACTCTAGTGTTCAGTAACTAACTGTGAATTTTCAAAATTTATTTTGAAATATAAAAAAGCAGAGTAACTATTAATAATGAAACGACAAGCACTACAAGGAACAAACAAGCATGTGTGGTCATCCAGAGACTGACAACAACAAAGTCGTAAAGTTCTGAATTCCCAAGAAAATATTTCTTTGGACAGGGGGTTTCTCCCAATCTTCTGGCCTGCTTACCTGAAGACAAAAAAAAAAACAAAATCAGTATTCCTAATACTAATAACTGAAAATTCAACTACCTTAAGTCGATGACCATATAGCAATGCCGAAATATACATGGGATGATAGATCAAATTTACCAAAAATCTTGACAATTTTGCAAACTTAGCAAAGTATGTACAAGCAGTTAAGGCAAAGCACACCGGACATTAATAATTTTAAATCCCTCATATGTTCACAAATCAAGAAGAGATTATATTTTCTCACCAACAAAAATATTTTGAAAAACAAAACCAGTAATTTGCAAAAAGAAAATAAAAAAACCCTAAAAATAGAGAAACTTGATTAAATTAAAATGAATTGGTAAATTAATTTGAATAAAATAAAACCTGAACAAGAATGTGGTGGTGGAAGAAAGATCTTGTGATAAAGGGAAGAGCAAAGCCTGCGGGCACTAGAAGCGATGATCGACGATCTTCGAGAGTCAACCATTTTTCTTGTTAGGGTTTCTCAATGTTGTTTAGGTTCTCCAAAATAGTCATTTGCGGAACTTGTTGAACCCTCCTTCGCCTTTGCAAAGCTTATCCTCACTCGCTATCGCCATGAGAGAGAAAGGTAGAGAGTGAAAAAATCGAAGGAGTTTCAAATTCAAGAAAGGGTACAAAATAATGATTTTAATTGTAGAGAGAGAAAGAGAAGAAATAAAATAAAATGGAGAAACTAAAATAAGAAAAGAAAATTTTGAGTGAATAGATCGAGCTAGATGCGCTATCTTGCGACATTCACTTTTGTGTGGCATATTTGGGATTCTTTATAATATTAGCAACAATTTTTATACATGTAGTTAATTAAATGTCGACGAATGCCATATTTTTTGTAGTGCCATAGTAACTGTTGGATATTTGTTATATCCCAATTGTTTAATTGATTTAAAATTTGTTTTGAGGATTACAATCAATTTAATGTTAATTTAATTGATAATATTTTATTGTCTTAAAATTACTAATGAACTGATTGTTTGAGATTTCAGAATAATATGATTTGAAATAGTATTCAAGATAATTAAAGATTGCATGAAGATTGGAGAAGATATGGAAGATATCATGAAGAGAGAGAAAAACATGGAATCAAGTAAAATTTAGGATAAATTTTATCTTATTAGATTTCATGTAAGAGAAATAAAATATCATTTGCCAAAGATTTGATTAGGATTGCATTGCATAATAGAATAAGATATTAAAGCTTGAAATATTTTTTATTTGAAAAATCTTAAATCTTATTTTGAAAATTGCATTTAAAATTTCATTTAAGGGTAAAAGATTTCTGGTTAGTTTTTGGAAAAGATTTCAAATTTTAATATTATATCTTTTGGAATTTTAGGAGAAAGAAAATGTTATTATTATAAATAGGGCTCATTGCATATTATTCAAGAAGAGAAAACACAATATTCATAAGTGGAGAAAACACAATATTCATGAGAGAAGAATATATAAGAGAGAAAAGAGAGAATTAGATTTTCAAGATTAGGATTCATTCTTGTGCATCAATTGAAAAGCTTTCTCAAGAACATTCATTCATATATTCATCCTTTGACAAAGTGTATTTCTCTATAGGAATTCAGATTACCTATCTGCTTGAGGAAAAGAACCATTGAGGTAAATCATTTAATTGTAAATTTCTTCTTGACCTTTTTGAAGGTCTGTACTGAGAAACTTGGATACCAGTTCTTAGTACTAGGAAATTGGGATACCAGCATGTCTCTTTTTCTTGGAAATTGAGAGTAACTTGAGAACCCTTGTGTGATAGGGTTTCAAAATCCTAAAGGGTTAGAATTTCGTATTGGAAAACTAGGATACCAGTTGAAAATTTGTGTAAGGGGTAGACTAGGAAACTAAAATACTAGAGAACTCTTTGTACGCAAGTTTCATAGTGGAGTTGCCTGTCGAATTTCAGTATTCGATTTTAGGGTCCGTGGTTTTTCTTCCCTTTTGGGTTTTCCACGTAAAAACTATTATGTTAATATCTCTATATTCTTATCTTGATTTATTGCTTTGAGTTAATTTTAATTAACAAATTATTTTTTGAAACTCAATTCACCCCCTGTTGAGTTCACCCGGGACCAACATTAACTAGGTCCTCAAATGAAACATAATATAAGTCTTTGGCTAGTGTTACTTGTGAATTGATTTGGCTTTTCTCCTTGTTACATGACTTGTATGTCAAACATCTTGGTCATGCACATCTGTTATGTGATAACAATACATCTTTACCAGGTCCTTCATTCTTCATGGTTTTTTTTCACTTCTTTCCAAGATGGAACTGCATAATATTCATTCTCCATCTTAGGGGAAGTATCAGTGTTTATTCTTTATACCCTTTATAAATAATTATTTAGTTATAACAACTTTCACAAATTTCACATATCACACCACTACAATTATGTTATGCTTTCTATTAGCTTTTCTTGTATAAATATCATTGTATAGATGACATACAATGAATGAGAAAATTCAAGTATTTCTTTCTTCATTTTTTATTCTCTGACCATTCTCTTCTAATAGAACCCCAAAAAAAATATTAAAAAAATAAATAAAAGAAACGATTAACTTGAGAAAAACTTGAATCTTTCAGAATTAAAGATTCCATATTCTCTTCTTCAATTGAAAATAAATTGGTACAAATATACGGCTAGAATCTGCAGAAATTTCATGTTTCTTGTTCATTCTTCCCAGTATCGTTCAGGTTCGAATCTTTATGCCCACCCCATTTATTTATCCTCTCTTCGGCAAGGGATGCCTGCCATTTACATACAATGTTAGCCTTTAATGACCATATTTACTAGATTTATAAGATACACCCTTAATCATATCACCAAATTGGCTTTGTTTTGCAAGCAATTCATAATATACATTAAAAAAATATCTTACCTCTTTATTCCAGTCAGTCTTATAGACCATGAAGAAAAGAACACAAGTTTGTACGATGGTCCCTGACAGCATTCCAGACCAGATCCCCTGAAAATCATCCATCATAAAAATTATTAATCCATCACTTATAACTTTCAATTTTTTTTTTCCAAAATGGATATCTATCTTAGTTGATGCAAGAGGAAAATGTTTGTCCTTTTGAACGAGTTATTTGAGATGAAATAACGTCGTTTTGATGATGTATAATTGATAATTTTTTACATTTTCTCTCATCCACTTTCTATCTTTCCTAATTTTATGGAGGAGAGAGAATGTAAAAAATTACCAATTATATACCAAAACGACGTCGTTTTATTTAAAATGACACAAAATTATATTCGTTAAAAGGGTAAATATTTTTCTCTTAGTGTAAATAAGCATTAGTGTTTTTCTTTTGTATTATAACATACCATAACACATCATAGCACGTAAATATACACAAGAGAATACTATTTTTTCGTTCTTCCTTTCTTACTTAAATCATTTCAACATGTCTACTTTTCTTTTCCACAACTCAGAATGGGCCATAATGAAAAAGCTTCAAAAGGCTAGAGATCAATATGAATTTAGTCACATGTCAATGTTGCCTGTTTTCTAGTTTTTGTTTCTAGTTTCTAAAGTACATGATGCACTTGTTATGTGTGTCCTACTCCTGCTTTTTACTTTTTCATTTGGCCATTGTGAATGTAAAATAAAATTTGAGTTACCTTAATTAGGAACGAAAAACAAATGAAAAAAAGTAAATAATGAAAGAAAAATAACTCACCAAGACACCAAAGTCAAGCTTGAACCCCAAAATAAGCCCAAGAGGAACACCAAAAAGATAGTAACAAGCAACATTTACATAAGCAACAATAGTTTGCCATCCTGCACCAACGGCAACCCCTGAAAGAACAGGTTGCACGTTATTGATGACAATGCAAAAGGCCAACATGGGTGTGAGCTCCACAACAAGTTCTTTCACTTCTGAATCACTTGAAAACAAGGAAGGGTACTGATTCCGGAAGATGATCAGAACCAGCGACAACAAGAGACCAAGCACAAACGAAGTAATAACAGCAACCACAAGTGAAAATTTTGCCGTTCTTGGGTGACTTGCTCCCAATTCATTTGACACTCTCACACTGCATAATTTTACGACTCAAATTAAGGTTAAATGAAGGGTATAAGCTTTTTCAAAAGAAGATGAGTGTAATAACAACAAACCTTACGGCTGCATTCATTCCCATGGATATCATGACAGTCCATCCCAATATGTTCGTGCTGCAAATTCAATACCACGAGATGAAGCACATGTATTTTTTATTTTTTTTTATCAAATTCAAATAAGGTGACAAAAAAGAGAGCGCAATTTGGCAATATTGAACTGTAATATAAATTTTCTCCTACCGAACCAGTTTTGGTCATACTACTCTAAGTTTTTACACAGTAATTGGTTTTTTCGCATATCAATAAAGGTTTGAATGTCTCGAGATAAAATTATTCCCTCTGCACGTAAAAGTATGTGTTGTTCATTTTTTTTTCTATTCTCTTCACATGAGTCTTACACACTTTTATATATGTAGAAAATAATTTTATCACCATATTTGGGTCACTAAAGTAAAGATGTTGGTCTTCCAGGATGAAAGTGGGAGTAGGGTAAGTCAACTAAAATAGAGGAAACCACGATCTGAAATGAAATTTTTGTATGAAAAAGGTCTGGGTCTGGAACTTTCCGATTGGGTACAGAATTTGGAAAAGTCTGGAGTAGGAGCTTTTCGATTGGGTCCAGAACTTAGAAATATAAGCATAAGCCATATTATTTTACACAAGAATAAATTAAACTCTCGATCATAGATATTTAAAGTTTTTAAGTTATTAAATTTATATATGGGAGAGATTAATTTATATAACAATAAATTTTAAAACTGATATATAATGTTAATCATTTAGTTTAGTTATATTTAATGGTTCACATGAACTCTTATCTCTAATAAATTAAAATAGTTATATGCAAATAAAACAAATGGTTATAATAATGAGTGAAAGAATCTCATAGCATTCTTATATTTTTTTAATAACAAAATCAAAATATTATAGATTCTAATACAAATTTTTTAAGTTGGATTTTAAAATTATAAAAAAAATGTAACAATGGAATGAAAATATTGGTGTGCAAAGAAGACCATTTGGTTTGATATATTACGTTAAAAAGAGAGTAGATATTTCAAAAGTTAGTTTTGTTTGAAACTTTCTTTTAAGAGACTTACTAAATCTTAAATAGTGAGTGGATAGTTTTTATAGAAAGACTAATATATAATATAATATAAGTAGTGTAAAAAATTATACGTAGCATTATGGATCACTGTTATATTTATGCTTCTAGAAATATTCAGAGAGAATCCTATAATTTCTTTTGCAAACTTAATTTGTCGTTTATACAACAATTTAGAATTGATGATCATTGTAAGAACCTGCACCGTTTAATTAGGAAATTGACTAATTAATTATGAGAAATTAGGAAATAATTTCATAATTGACCCTAATAATTATGATAAGGCTTAAATAATTATGGTAAGTGATTAGGAATGCTGAAAGTCACTTTTCTGACGAAAAGTGCAGATACCGTTTCTGCCTCACGGTATAAATGCGTAAC